CAGGACCTCAAGATTCTGACGAGGCTGCAGGCATTACTGTTGCGACGCAAAATATTGTAGGTTGACATTCAACCTGTGTCGACGCGAATTGCTGCAACTACAATTCGCGGAGGGAACCCGGCTGTGTCACATATGTCACCGGGCTCCACATGTCGGCCTTGCAAAGACAAACCTGCCATTTCTCAAACATCCACTAGCGAAACTTGCAAGACAACGAACATGGGGTCAATCGGGGCCAAACACATTTACCCACATTAGTTTAGTTGACGGGCTCAGGGAATCAGCGAATCCTGTCACGTGAGGGCGCAGGAGAGAACACCAGGGCAGTAGCCAGAATGCCATCTCCTTGCCATACACAGCATAGAAGACCAGCCTGGATGCTTTTCAAAACATTACTCGAGCTGTGCGCAGGGTCTTGTTGGGAGCACCATGGTGGAATGGTGCACTCCCAGGACTACATGAACATTGAGACCATGCTTTAGGCCCATCACTCGTAAAGGTTGAAGGCCACGAAGACGCGTCCGGCCCACTCACCTGCCGAAGCACATCACGGCACAGGGCAGCACAGGGCAGCACAGGGCCTCGTGGAAGGTCCTGCATACGAACCGGTACAGTACACGTATGTACACGTGCATGGTGCGTGCAGAAGCCTATAGAAGCCTGCTTATGACCTGGTACTAGTTAGTACGGTGTGGCTGGAAAGCTATTGCAAATTGGAACTAAATCCATTCATCATGTCAACCCGAAATCATTCCTTGTCCTTGCGGAGCTTTCAGCCACGGCCTGAAACTGATTTCGATTGCAAGTAGTATTCTGCCCGCATATGCCTGAAAATCGATTCGTCAAGCCATCCGCTCAGAAGCTGCCGAACAAATTGCTTAACCTCACTTCCAAGCAGGCACATGCGGATGACGACTTTAAAGAGGTCCGTTGAATGTCGAAGTTAAGCCGCCGGTTGCTGTTGCCGCTTGAAATTGAAACTTGTTTCGAGCTGATGGAAAGAAACACAAGACAAGCATTGCAAACGGAATTCAAAATTGTCGACTTAAACAAGCCGATATTAAAGATTAATTCCAGCCGGTAATTTGAATGCCGCACACGTGCAACAAGAAGAAGTGGGTGACATGTGCTGTTTGCTAGCACGTGCTAGGCTGGTATCTTATGCAGACCCGACTGGAATGGATTCTGTATGGCTCCGACAAGAAAGTAGTAGGCGACAACGGTGACAACAACTAGCAAAGGATGCCACAATGTTCACTTGGCAGTGCTGAATTACACTCCGACCCCTCACCGCCCCCCCCAGCTCCCCCCCCCCCACACCCCGCCCGTCGCCTGCACTTGCAGGCCTCGGAACGGCGGAAAAGCGAAAACAATGAAAGAGTTCCCTCGCTGGTCTCTGCACATTGGATCTCCCTGTGCACCGTGCCCTGAAGCTACATTGGCCCAGCGAGCTTCTGGGTCCTCACAGTACAGCTTGAACTTCTTAGCAAGAGGGCAGGACAAGGAAGGATTCCGGAGATTCTCGGCACCAGGCATTGAAGCCCTCGCTACACCTGAACATGCAAGGATGCACCGGGGACAAGAGCTAGAACAATGCGTCAAGCGGCAAGAAGACGATGCTGAGAGCCACCATGCTGGGCGGAGCCACGATGAGCATCAGGCGGTTCGCCATCTCAGAGCAAAGCCGACGTAGTCTTGTACAAGCAGAGAAAATGGATGGATCAGAGAGTTTCCATCTGAGTGTCGGCTCAAGTCTGGCAAAAAAGTTGAAACAACTGTGAAGAGTGTCCATGCCTGCTGACGCTCCTTGACGTCCAAGTCCCTCGCCTGAACAGCGAAACGGCGAAGTACGACAAGATGATGGACGCTCGGCTACATCTATCTGATCCGAAGATCTGATTCAGCACCTTAGAGTTGAAGAGCATTCTTCGCCCCCACCCTCACCCGGAAGACCAAAGCCCTGCTGTTCCGCACTACTTCTGCACTGCCTCTCAACGTTGGCAGTGCTTTTTGTCGGCTTCTTCGGCTCTTTCGGCACATTGCTCTGAGCAAAATGCGACTTGGTACAAAGTCTTGCTGCGGAACTGCAAAGGATGGCAGGTTTTCGTGGCGTGAGCCAGGGGGGCTTGGTTTAGTAATACTGAGGGTTCGATGCTCTGAACCTCTTGCAGCTTTTCATGTGCTCCTGACCCTCTTTACGAGGTGTGCCCGGGGGACTCTGCAGACTGCGCTCTGCACCCAAAATCATAAAACCGCTCAACGAACAATTTTTCCACTTCCCCTCAGGTGCTCTGCATGCGATCCGCAAGCAAACTGGGGATCCTGGTTTCAAGAGTTGAAGGCAACAAGGATTCCATCATTTGCGGGTGACATAATTCCCCCCCCCCCGATTTACAAAACCCAACAAAATTAATGGAAACTCCCCATGCAGCCTACGATTTGCTTGCAGAATCTGCTTGAATTCATGCTGCCCTGCAAGCCCCATGGAGGGTTGGGGAGGCGATTATGATTCTTCAAATTTCGGGAGGACTGTGGACCCCCATGCGCTGTAGTGCTGCACCTGGGGCCAGAGTGCAATCAGCTGCCGCCTAAGGAAACAGGTTCGAGTTCAGTGTAGCAGCGCACAAGTCAAAGGCTCGGACACTTTTTATAGTCTGTTAGAGTCTGTCAGTCCCTCTGAAAGAACGAGCTGAGCCTCCGGACAGCAACGCGTGCTGCAAAAGCATGACTCCCGTCACGCCTCCGCGAAAGCAGATCTCAGCACTGACAAGCATCAGACTGGGCATGACTGGGCCATTCATACTTATCAAATCAGGACTCAAGCCCGTCAAGCCCAGCTGAGGCCTGCAATGTCGACGGCGAGCATTGCGCTTGCAGAAGCGATGGTGCTTCTATTTTGTTTGCATGAACCGTGTTGTACGGTCAGAAAGTTGTGAGTTGCAAGGGGTCTAGCACACGTGGCTTGCTCTGGTCTACTCTAGGACTCTAGCCTAACCAACCTATTACTGTGCTCTGACAGTACTCTCCTCAAGTCTGCTACATCACTGTGCCGTCTCAGCTTCAGAAAACTGGAGAAGGGCTAACCCGGTGTCTGCATGTGCCCGCACATGTCTGCAGCATCATCTCTGCTTCTTCAAGCCAAACTTCCATGAGACCTCTGACCCAAACAAGGTGGAATTTGCACAGCTCCGCTGCACCACACTCTGACGAAGGGGCAGGAAAGAAAACGACTGAAAGAGAAAGCAATACAAAAACAAAAACCAGTGCGGTCGTCGGGCTTTCTGTCTGCAGCTCTGCAGCAGCGAAGCTCAAAGATGTTCTACAACTTTTGCTCTCTTTTCTCCGGGGGGGAGTGAGATTTCAAGCTCGCTGGTTGGGCGTCAAGGCTGTCGTGCACCCCCCACCCGCCTACAGGCTCTAGGATTAGGTGACGGTGTGAGCTCCCACAAGTCTGCTGCTCAGAACAGGTCTTTAGCCTGAAGAGCACGCGTTGAGATGAAAGCACACGTCACAGGCTTGGAAACAAGCCATCCGGCTCAGAGCACGCCTTCTTCGCATTTTGCTGTTTCCACTTTGGCTGCTTCAGGAAGTCCGCCGAGGCCATGCCGAACACTGCCTCACGGTCTGCGTGCTGTTGCCGATGCTGATGGCCCTGCTACAAGCGATGTAGCCCCGCTTGCAGCAACCATTGAGGTGGTCAGAACTTCCCGCAACAACAAAGTGTATGGCCAGTGGGCATGAGAAAGATAGCACCAAGCACAGGGAGCAAGCACAAAACTGACGACGGTGACAATCAGGAGTGAACTGAATTCAGGGTGTACCCACGAACGGAAACTCATGATTACAAAATGGCATACGCCTCGGCAAGTGCCATATCAAGGAGAATGGATTTGACCCCGTTTCGGTCCCATGCGCAATCAGCGCACGAACTTGCAGTCCCGCATTCATGCAGTCATGTGGTGTTGCAACTGTAAACACTGAAACAACCAGATCACACACAAGTCAGAGATAAACACTGAAACAACCAGATCACACACAAGTCAGAGAAGGTAGCCACAGGGACACTGACCGACAATAACGACAGGCCAGAGTGAGCTCCAATTACACAGCACATACACAGTAGCGAGCAACGAAAACACTAAGAACATGTTTTCTGAGAACCGGGACATAAAGTTTAAGGCTTGAACTCCCTGTGCCTAACTTTTTCCGGGCACAGTAGCTGAAAAGGGCAGCACAATGTGACGAGCAACGGTCAAGTGTGGGATGCATGGGAAGATGCTAAGACCGCCTGCCTGGAAGTCCTCCTCCGACAAGTAGAGCTCCCTCCTGTCGATGCGACTATATGCGACTCAACGTCGCGACGGTCATAAGTCGGGTCGCGCGCGCCAGCGTGCGCCATATGGTCATGCCTTGATTGCCTCACTTGCCGCACTTGCCTTCTAAACACCGACGAGGTAAGCGTTGAAGTAAGCCCCGCTACCGACTTCTTTGACGCCGCGCATCCTTGCTACTTCTCCAACTTGCAAGGGCTTCACCAAAGCTCAGGCTGTTTACCGATTTTTGAAACCGTTGTGACCAGTTCTTGACATTTGTAGGGCGGCTGTCTCCTTTTCTCTGCACTGTTGGCAAAGGGTGGCGTCACGGAAGGTTGCCCACAGCGCAGGAGGTTGGCGTCAACACCATTTTCAGAGCACAAGGAAACTACGGCAAGCCAAACGCAGCTAGACCTGCCATTCGGCGCTGTGCAAAACAGTCGCTGGAGCAGGGCTCAGAGTGGCTCAGTGGCTGTGGACGGTACGGCATGCAGAGCATGCAGACAATGCACATCGGAGCTTCCTGGCCGGGTCCACATCCTGCGGCCGGCCGTTTGCGACCTTCAGCTCCTGAAAGAAAAAAAACAAAGCAGAAGACTTGAAGAGAAAGAAACTGAGAGGGAAAGAGAGAGGGAGAGAGATAGATACGGAGAGAGACTGCGGGAGAAAGGGATGGCGCATATCGTGTCATGCATTGTGGGGAGTTTGGGCCCGAGCATCCATTGCCTCGTGGCTGTACTTTTTATCTGCCGGGTCCGCATAGGCCGCATCAGGCTCGGAAGCCTCCAGAAGATCATGTGAGAGAATGAGTGTGAAAGAGAGACAGAGACAGACAAAGGTGCATCAGTTTCGCCTATGTTGTTTTGCGTTTGTATTGCCAAAACAAACAATCAGCAAGTTGCAAACTTCGTTCTCAAACGTTGCTGCACGGATTCTGTTTCCGAGACACGACCGTGAAACTGAAAGTTCGGGAAGCCGAGAACACTGTGACCAAATATGCACGCATCCCAGAGCTTGCTCAACGCGATCCTGTGCATGAGTTCACTTTGCAGATTCAACAAATGTTCATTCGGATTTTCTAGATATGCAAACTTGCCCTTCCAGATTCCAGCTTTGTGGGCGCTTCGAAGTTTCTAGAACCAAGTTGCTTCTCACGTCTTCCGGCGGCTTCGTTCCATGTTGAAACTGATCCTGATCATTGACTTTTCATTCCCAGGGTTTTCGAATGTTTTCGAGGCCGACGACTGGCCCTCTTCTGTGGCCCGCTATTGAAGGGTCTTGCGGGCAACTTTGCGAAGCTCGCCGGATGCCTGAGACCCGGCAATGCGCCAGGCCCTGCTGCTGACCCGTGAAAGTCTAAGCAGCAACCATTGTTTTTCTGGACCTTTTAGATCACACAGAGCCAGCTGTTACATTGAGGGCATGTGAACTTCAGTAATTATGCAAACCTTGGCAACTCTAGCATCCTCACCCTTGCTTTCAAGGCGAACTCGACTTCATCTCCCATCTCCTTCTTTTGCAACAGAGCTGGACCTGGACACACACGGACACACACGGGCACACAAACACACGGAGCAGACAGGATGAAACAATAAATAGGCACGCATACAGACAACGCGCACAGACGACGGACAGACACAACGCAGAAGCACACACGGACATGCACGTCACTAGCATACCAGTAGAGAAGGTGGCATGACACCTCCTTTCTGGTCAGGTTCCCAGTGTCACCCGTGCGGTAGCCGATGTACCTTTGCAGAGGCGCTGAAAGACAACACGGGTTCATGCGGGTTAACCATCGGCCAATAATGAGTCAAAATGAGTACTTCGGAGAGCAGCGCGGAGAACCGTAGGGAGCCAAAGAGAATTCTGGGCTCTACTGAGTGGTACTGTGTGCTACCGTGTGCTACTCGGCAGGTGCACGATGTGTCCACCTTCCAGGCGCCGCCATCCTCCAAAGGATCAAGCGAAACTGGGGGTCTGGAAGAGAATGAAGAGAAAGAAGACTTGTATAAGACTATGACCGTGACATTTCGGAATGTGATGGTGAGCACACTGCATCGGCACCTTCCGCACAGAGGCGGACGGAGCCACCCGCTCTGGCCCCCTCAGGAAAGCTCGCATGAAAGGAGACGAAAGTGACAGGGAAAGCTTCCGAGAGGGAGGAGCAGGACCGGATATTCTGCAGGGCTTCTTGGCATACGTGGCATAGGCCACTCGAAATTCTCGGTGCCGGGGCACCCCAGGACCGAGCGTCGACCTTCCAGGCGGTCCACCTCGCCTTGGCGCACAGTGAACCCACAGCGGACAACTTCTGACGCTGATGACCGCTGGAAGCTAACAAGTCCAACAGCAGGCACGTCACTGTACACTACGAAGTGAAAACACTTTCGGGATCAATCTTGAATGCACCGACATGAGATGAAGAAACATGAAAACTACTATACGTTTATATGTATTGAATGGAGAAACCAAGGCCCAGGGGTGGGGGCTTTACATCCGACTCCTGATCATACCTCCTGAGGTCAGTCATGGTCTCTACACTGCAGTGGCCCAACATGGCCCAACAATCCCAACAATCCCAACAGCGCTTCCGGTTCCGGCTGCGGCCCCGGACCGGTCCGATGGTTGATGTACCTACCAGAATGTCATGATATGTCGTGAAGTGAGAGAAGACTTGGGCGATCGGTGAACGAGTTCTGTCGGATGGCTCTCTGCTCCGTGCTCTGGGGCACGAAGTGTCAACTTTGAACTTGCCCTCTTCGTCACGCTCACTTCCTGCTGGCACATTTCCAACACCGACTCTGCAGAACGCAGCACAGTTATGCACAGTTTGGGCGGTCTGTGCATTCTTGTCTCACACTCGTTCCAGTTCCAAGCTTGTCTCCAAGCTCCCTGCGGCTAGTAACCCCTGACACCGGGAGCTCGGTGTCCAAGACGGAGCGTCGGCTCTGCGCAGGCGCTGGCACATAGTGGACCGTGTCAGGCAGTGTCAGGCACGCTTCAGAGCGGAACAGAAACGAATTGCGCGCATGCCTCTAGGCGATTAGGGTCCTTAGTCCTGTGATCAATGTACCTGGCAGAGGCTCAGCTGTGTCATGCGAGAAAGTAGCTGCACCTGTAACAGAAACAGAGCTAAACATACAAAATGTCGGCACCCGGTATCGACTTTCCACTTGCCGTCCTGTACGCGCAAAATCAGATGAGCAGTCTAGGAACATGTGACTGGCATTGATTGGCGCTGGGCCTCCGTCTTCTTCACGGTTGCTGACGACGTCGACGTCACTGGAGCCTGCGACTTTCGATGCGACCAATACGACTGCTACCACTACTAATACTATTGCGGTTGTTATTTGCTTTTGCGTACGGCTCACTACTACTCTTATTAACATTCGACAGCGCGGGCATCATCTGCACAAGCAAAAAACCAGACAGTCAAACAGTCAGATGGCCAGACAGACAGTCGGTCAAACAATTCAGGCAGTCAGGCGCTCAGATTTGCCTTGCGGAGGTTTGTCCTTTTGCTTTGCCGTGGCTGTAGGTTCCGTACAGAAAATGGCAGTTTTAATTTTACTTCCTTGCATATGGTACTGGTACACGCAGCTCAAACAGCCAGGGTAATGCAAAAAAGAACACCTCCAGCCCTTGGGGAAGCCTACTTGTTCATTTAGACATGGCTGCAAGGCTCCCTTTCAGCCAGGGCTAGGCAACAAAACACAGCATGGGCGGACAGCCCATGCAATGCAAAAGTTTTGAGCCACGGCAAAGCAAAAAAAACACTTCCGCCCGTGCTGAAGGCGTTTGTTTTTGCATAGCTTTGGCCCACAGGTATGGAGTCCTACAGCCAGGGAGTTTTGTTGTTTTGCGAAGCCCTGGCTGTACGAGCTACACCTACCATATGCAAAGCAGAAAAGGAGGACAGCCACGGCATCCACGAGTCTTACAGCCATGGCAAAGCAGAAAAGTCCCGACAGCGGCGGAATCCTCTTAGCACAACTGCCGCTGGTAATGATCTTCAATGAACTTAACAAAAGATGCCTGCCGAGGTTCCCAACTTCCCAGACAAACGCTCAGAACGCTGGCCGACATGCCAAACTTTTTCAAACCCTGTGCAAAGTGCGACCTCTGAGGTTGAGTCCGCCTCGGCGCAGAGCATGCATGAACAAGAAGGACTTACGAAGGGCCACAATTGCAAGCTCTCCATATTCGTCGATATCCATGGGGCCGGCACTGATGCTGGTATTGAATCGGGCGCCGCCTGCGCTGCCGAGGCCGACGTGTTGTCGGCCGCGTCGGCCACTGTGTCGGCCGGTTTGTCGGCCGCTGTGTCGGCCGCTGTGTCGGCCGCTGTGTCGACCATGGCTGGGGGCTCCACTTTTGAAGCTTCTTCGGCTGGGACCTCAGGACAACGTGAGATAGCACGCTGCCCCTGCAGGCCACCATTGCCCGACAAAGCCCAAGAACAACGTCACAAACACGACAGAATCACATGTGTCAGCCCTGAATGCTTTTGTTGTATGTTGACGTGGGGCCTCACAGGCTCCAGATAAAGTTTAGGGGAACTTGGTGAATACGCGATCATGCCCCCCACGGCTTCTTTGGATGGCCACCCAGTCCCTGACTTGCTGCGCTGTTGTGGAGTGGCCTGGATGAATGCATCAGAATTCATCATAGTTCCTGAAAACGGAAAGGCAATATACAATTATTATATAATTTTACTTTGGAATGGTTGCTCTCCGCAGCTTTCCAACTCACGCTCGGGAGCCCCCCGTAATCGTGCATGCCGAAACAACATGGAGATGGGCGCATGCCGAAACAACGTGGAGATGGGAAAAGCTGCGCCCCTAGGATGTCCGCTCTTGAGCAAAGGAAAAGGTGTACGCATCACAGGATGTCACGTATTTTGGTACGCCTGTTCAAAGTTTTGGGAGCCTGTTGGAGCCTTCAACTCGAATCTGCGCAGAGCACCTCGCTTGAAATTGTACACTAACACATGCAATGCACATCGTGAGAATTTTAACAGTTCCTCATGTCTGGAGCTGCTCCGCCACATCGACTAAGGTTCCAAACTGCCCTCCTCACCAAACAAATTTTATATACCTTTCACCTAGGTGGTATGTCACCCGGATCCACATTTGGCCGTGTGCAAAAACCCCCGCTTGTCGCGGACCGCGCGCGAAACCATCTGTTACAGACCTCTGTAACGCCCGTCTTGATACAGACCTCTGTCGCGCGCATGCACGACTGGAAGCTATAAGGGGAAACAAGAAAACAACAAGCAGGTCTGTCGCAAAACCCCGGGCATTGATACATACCCTATGTAACGGGGTATGTCGCGTGTGTGGGCGACGACCCTGTTACAAGCAATTAATATTGGCACGCGGCCATTTCTCCACTTGCATGGTGCATTAGGATGATGAGTTAATTTGCACCGATGCAGACTGCACCCAGTCGTCCGTCCTTGCAGTCTGCCATTTGTGCGACTGTGGGAAAATATTCTAGCAAGTATACAGACACAAGTACTGGCACGCACACGCACGCTTAAATCTTGCGCTATTTTAACATCATATTTGCACACGCATATTCACCTCAGGCTTGGCCATGGTATTCACATCGCACACCAGCGTCTGAACTGCAAGGCTCCATGTCGGAAATGTCAAAGCAGAACCCCATTCATGCTGAAACCACAGTTGGCAAAGTAGACACTACAACACTTGCAGACACCTATTCAACTCGACACGACTCGGTGCCAGTTCAACTCGGCTCGGCACCGATGGCTCCTCCTTCACCTCCTGGAGCTCGGCTTCTTTTTCTGGAAGCTCGGCTTCTTTTTCTGCACTGGGCTCACTGGGCTCCTTGGCAATGCGGGTAGCATTGTAAGGCACAATGGACCATGACGACTCAGCCAGGGTGTCCTACCAGTAATCTGACTGAGGGGATGAGAGGCGCGATACAAGGCGTGTAGGCACGGCACAGTTGCCGCACTCTCCCTGTCCTTCGGGTGGTTGCTGTGTGGGGACAGGGGTAGATGCGGGGAGTTGCAATCACCAGCCTTGCCGCTGAGCTGGATCACGGTGCTGTCGTGCTGCCCCTGACTCACAGCGCAGCCACTTCCGTGCAGCATTTGGACATGACCCGTTTCCGGCCTGCAGGAGCAACTCACCCTCAAAGCTCAGGAAGCCCTTCTTTTTCGCAGCCTCGAGTTTGGAGTCCCTCTTTGTGCCCCTCTCTGCAGTGTGTGCCGTTATGTGTGCAGGAGAAAGAGAACACGAGCGGTGCCGTCTTCCACTTTGCCAGCACGGGCTCGTGTAGTTGTACAGTACTACTATTCTCGTATGTGATTGCTGTCCTGCCTTCAGGGTGCCGAGGAGGGCCTCGAAGCGCTGTTCGACAGCGGAGTCCTCCAGACAGTCTGCCAGATGAACTTTACAAGAGCATGCAATTGAGCGGGTTTCCTGCTTCTCTCGCTTTGGTTTTCTAGTGAACTTGGCAGCTCATGCTTTCTTCATTACTTTCTTTCAGTCCTTCTTTCAAAAGCCTGTAAAGAGTCGAGCCTTCGCAAAAGAGCTGGGGGCCTGTCCTGTGTGAGGCTGCCGCCCTCTGCCCCCTCCACTACCAGTCACTACCAGATCAGATCAGACCTCCTCTCCTCCTCGACTGTGCTTGGATCTGGACCAGGTCAGAACAACAACACGCGAGTCCCAGCCCCTGCTGGTTCATTCTCTGGGGTGTCCATCGGAGTATGTTGGAATCAGCACCCCGGCTTGGGTTCGATCCTGATCTTTTGCTGCAAATCGCAGAGCTTCTTACACCTCGTCCGTAAGAATCCGAACAACAAACTCCCACCAGCAGATTTTCAAGCCCATGTAATGCTCAATGTTGCATCATCACAAGATGATTTAATTTGGCATCGCACTATCACACGGCTGGCTTGCAACATTGCGCAACTACAGTACGTGGTCTTCCTGCAGAACTTGAGGTCTGGCCAGACTCGCCAGACTTGGAAACAGCTGACCCCAAACAATGCACCCCAAAAGTCCCCCAAACAACCAGCCCTGACTAATAGACCTACTGTGTAACAACTCGTCTGCTCCTTGCCTTTGGCCTTGGTTCTTGGCAAAGCCTATGATTCTACGATGTTCTACGGTCTCGGCGGTTGGCTTGTGGATGTCTCACTGCCTCAACCCTCTTCCCAGTCTTGGCTGCTTTCATTGCCCGTCTATGCATAGTTTTCGGGCACAGTGAGGACTCGGAGTAGATCGTTTCATTACTTTCTTCTGTCGGCTTTTGCTGTCAGTCTTGCGGCTCATGGGCCTAGGAGTCAAGCCCTGCGCTACGCGCAGCCGAATGTACCGACAGCAGGAAGGCGAACCCTCACACATGACGCCCTGCTTGCGCATCTCATCCAGTCTGTGTAAATTGGCCGGCATGAGAGAGAGACTTCTGCCCACCCAACCAAAAGCACCACAGTGAGCTACAGTTCTCAGTTGTCGACCCCCGGGTCAACTCAACCGGCAACGAGAAAACATGCACCCCTAGGCTGCCTTTGGGCGTTTCCTACAGTAGGGGGTCTCTAATGTCTCTGTCTCAGTTCTGGGCATGCTGTAATTGGCTCGCTCTGGCCTTTGGCCAGCAAACGTCCGCCCCGCTATCTCGAATCGAACGAAATGCTATCTCAAGTTCAAAAGCGGCTCCAACCCAGGACCTGCGAGGAGCCAGCCACCTTACTTCGTTAATTTCGGCTCTATCTGTATACTGACATCTCTCAGATCTCTCTTCTTGTTGTTGTTCTTCTTGCGGGCTTGAGGGTGGGAAAGTATCTTCCTTCCCTCCCTCCCTTCATTCCACCCCACCCGCCGAACAGGGTTAGTCGGTGTGAAAGTGCCAAGCACGATCCTTCTTTCCTTCTTTCTGCGCACCTACCCCTCCCCAATTGAGGAGGGCCGCCCGAAGGCGTGCGTTACATGGTCCTGCGGGTCAACCGATGTCCTGGAGATTTGGGGAGTGGGACTCAGTTGCAACAATAAATGTGGAGCAACTCCCCTTCCCTCCCTGTGCGACTCAGCATTCCCCTTCGCAAGCCCGCTCTCTCTCGCTCTCTCTTTTTCCGCTCGCTCCGTCGCACTCCCTGAGTGTGAATGCTGCATGTCTCCTGGACGAGGTCACCTCACCGCATGAAAAATCGCAAGGAAAAGAAAAGCGTCGAACACCGGCAAAACGTCGGGCCGAGGCCCGTGCCAAACGTGACACTGTCCCCACCACCAATGCGTCGAATCTCCTTCCATCTGAACGAGACGGATGGCCCAGGCATCATGAATGTAAGGCCCCACACGCAACAGAGGCAAAATGAGAGCGAAGAACGTTTTTCTTTTTGTCATCAAAGAGAGAGAGAGAGAGAGAGAGAGAGAGAGAGAGAGAGAGAGAGACCGCTAAAGTGACGGTAGATAGTTGGACAGCGGCACCTCGCAGAGCTGGTGTGCCTCCGAGGCCGAAGCCTCCGCCGCGGCCCGCGCCTCGGAAAGGACAGAAAAGGACAGAAAATAGAATATACGGAACAAGAGAAGAGATCTGAGGGGTGAAGGGGATATGTGAGCAGATGGAGGAGGACGTTGAGAAACGCAGAGGCCCCCGGAGGCAAAGCATTGAAGCCCGGCTGAGGCGCCGTCGGCTTCTCCCATGGCTTCGGGCTTCTGCTTGGAAGAGTTTTGGAACTATCGGGGGGGAGACGGTGTGAGGACGAAGATTTGCAGCGAGACAGGCGGACAGGAAGCCCCGTTATGCAGCTGTGGAGGCACGTGCCCTACGGCTGCATTACGGTTGCAAGCCATGCTATGCCATGCTCTATGTCCAGAAGTGAGACACCCAAGCATTTTTGTAGCCTCTCCGACTGCCTGTACAGCATTGCAGGTAAAGAGGCGAGGGCCTAACGGGTCTTCATCATGCCACTCACTCGTCGCTGTCCTCCTGGGCCAAGAGAAGGTGAGGAATGATCTCTTTCATCGACATGTGAAGTGTCCCTGCGATTGTAATAGAACTGATGGGGGCCGAATATACTGGTACCTCATCAGGGCCTAACGTGATATCTCACATGAGCAGCAAAGAGAAATCTGCTGTAAAGGTCAACTTAACACAACTTTGGGGGGCCCTACAAGTAGGGCTGTACAGCCCCTATCAGCCTCAGAGTTGTGGGCATTGGGGCGGGGGGGGCGGCCTGTCGCTTTGCTTAATTTGCGTCATGAGCATAACAATTTCCTTTCTGTTTTCAAATTTTCTCTGCGAAATTACTATGCGAAATGAAACCTCTTGAAACAGAATGCCATGATGAAAGTGATCCTCCGAGGAAGCTTCACTGCTCGCGAAACGTAGATCCGTCTTTAGGAAGCGTTTCTTCGGCAGCAAATCGGGGCCGTTCAGTCTGCAGCGGTCCAACCCCAAACTACCCAAGGATCCAAAGGCTTAGATGTGCTGAGGCAATCATGACATGACACGCGAGGGAGCAGATCGTCTGTGACAGCCCTAGCGACTCCTGACATCTCTTGACAAAACCCAGTAGATTCACGCTGCTGAACTCGCATTTCACAACTGTTTCATAGCTACAGAATCCGATTCCACAGGCTTTATTAGATTAGATCCGCGCTTGTATCCGGAAGGCTCCAGTTCAACAGTTAGGCCACAAACTCTGGAAGTCCAGGAGCTTCCATTGATCAACCCAGTGCTGTGTTCCACGAACTCACTGCGCACTGTCAAGTTGGTCAAACGTTGTCAGTGGCGGAGAGGACTGAGAGTTCACACGAGCCCCACATGACAGCATATGACACCACAGCAGATCCTGGGGTGCCGCGCCCAAAGGTCGCTCCTCAATGCTGCTCGGAAGTTGCCGGAAGCCGCTGTGCCCAAGGCATCCTAAAACTAAGCATTTTGATGGGCACTTGGGCACTCCATGGATAAAGTCTGCATTTCTTAGGGGCGGCACTTAACAGAAACATTTCGGGAGTCTCTGCAGGTATATGTACCTCTGTGATCTTCTCTGTGTTGTTTGCGGTATTCTTTAAAGGATTTCTGGGGTGCACGTTGCGGGATTCTCCGGGGGCGGGCACTCCAGGGACACTCTGCCGGATTGTGCGTGGGTTCTCTGCAGGATTCTTTGCGGCCATGGCCTCTGCGAGATTCTTTGAGGGAGTTTCTGGCAGCAAACACTCTGCTAGTAGGGCGCAGACACTCTGGAACTGTCTGAAGGATTCTCTGAGACAGAAAACTGCGGGTCTGGGGGGGGCGTCGGGTACTTGCACGGAAACAACCCCACACCAAGGTCCGAGAAAAACTTGGCGATTCTGTTTTTGGTGAATGTCCTTGGATTTCCCTAGGAAAACCTCCGTTCCCTCTGTACTTTAACCGAATTCCTACGAATTTCTACAGATTACAGATGTCCATGGGATTTTGACTCATGTTTACTCAGAAGCCTACTGCTTCAAATCGCAATTCGTACACATTTTGGGATGGCTTTTCCCGATGAAAACCTGTTTTCCTTCTGTATGTTAGTAGGATTGCTATGAATTTTCATAGGGTTCTCGTACGTCTACAGAGACCCATATTATTTGCAATCCGAGTCTCATTGTTTGTGTTGAAGGGTTCTTCTGGATTTGAATAGGGTATCATAGGATTCTGATTTAGAAAGTGCTATGAATTGAAATCGAGCTCTTACTAACTTTCGTAGGATTCTTCTTAATTTGAAAAGGATTTTACTTGCCAACACATGCTCGCATGATGGGCTTGGCAAGGATTCACCAGGTTCTTCCTGGCAAGCTTTGCAAGTATTTACAAAAAGCGGGAGGTTGGGGGGGAGAGGGGGGCTTTTGCTGGCATGACTGGCAAAGATCAACAAAAACAAAAGATTGAGGACGCTGCCCCCCCCCTTAACAACCACCTAAACACAATGCTCGCATCATTGTCAAGGCTTAACGAAACAGAGCGGTTGGTGCAACACCATGCTAGCAAGACGGGTTTGGAAAGGATTCCTATGGCTTTGGGGCAAGTTGTCTTCTGGGCATGAAGGTTAGTATACAAACCAGTAGGGGGTTGGGGGCGCAGTCCCCCCCCCCCCCCCCCCCCCCAACACAATGCGCACAGTAGTTTGGAAAGGGATTCCTGTCAGTACAGTGCAAGTTCGCTTCTGGGCATGATGACTCAAAGAAACCTCCGCTCCCCCCCCCCCCCCCCGCCAGTTGCAAGCACAATGCTCGCAGACGGCTTTGAAAAGGATTCCTATGCTTCTCATGCAAGTTCTCTTCCCCGGTTGCAAACACACTGCTCGAGGGACGGGTGTGGAAAGGACGTCGATGCTTTTAGGCAAGTTCTCTTCTGGGCATGATAAAAAATAAAGCGGGTGGGGAGGGGGGGTTAGCCCCCCCAGTTGCAAGCACAATGCTCGCACGACGGGTTTGGTAGGATGCCCGTGCTTTTAATGAAGTTCTCGCTTTCTTCTTTCTTGGTTTGTGTCTTCTTTCTTTCTGTCTTGCAGTCATATTTCTCTCTGTCTGTCTGTCGCTCTTTCTTTATTTCTGTCTTCTCACTCCACTTCTGTATTTCTTTATTTCTTGTCATTTCTATACTTTTCTTGTCTTTGTTTCTTTCCGTCCGCTTCTTCCTCGATCTTCCACAGCCCTACGCCCCTCTCTCTCTCTCTCTCTTTCTCTTTCTTTCTTTCTTTCTTGGGGGCATGGGGGCGAGCCCCCGGGCGTTCTCGCCCGCCCCGGTATTCCCTCTTTCTCTCTCTCTCTCTCTCTCTCTCTCTCTCTCTCTCTCTCTCTCTCTTTTCGAGAAAGTAAAGGCCTTGCCTGGTTAATACATAGGAAAAGGAGGCCTGCCTCCTAAAATAAAGAAAAAGATTTTTCCTACACCCCTCAACCCCCACCCCCCAGAAACATATATCTCGAAAAACAAACAGCGAAAAACATGGCCCTCCAAGCAGAAGCATCACCTCAGCACCACGGCACTCCGCAGCACTCCACAACATACCACCATCACAATCATCTTTCGTCAACTGCAGTGTCCTGCTCCTCCTCCTCACGCTCCTAGCAGAACCACTGCATCACAAGCATTTGCATGTCCAAGGCCTGTGAGTCGTTAAAGGTCCTTGAACGCATTTTGACCATCTTTACCATCTTTGCACGTATTCAAAGGCTTGAGATTCAAAAGACTCTGAGAATGCAGTTTCGGCGCCTCTAGCGCCCCTGCGTCTAGATCGCGGGTCCTTGCAGGCTTGGCAGTCTCATGCACTCCAGTGCTTTTGCAGGCTTTCGAGCAGGATGTCCTGCGAGGATTGCCCCGTGCATCAAAGTCATAGTACCTGCCGCCAAATCCAGAAATCTAACAGGTCACAGCGAAAGACACGGCAAAATTCATCTCTTGTGCAGGTGAGGGCCCGAGGATGCTACGAGACGATGCGATTAGCGTCAATCCTCCGGGGCTTCTCCTCGCCGTGGAGTCGGAGCTTCAGCCAGCCTAGGAGCTCCAATGGCGCACTGTATTGAATTCTTGTTTTTTTCAGCGGTGCTCCTTACAAAAGCCTGGGCCGCAAGCGGTCGTCCTCTTGCTGCCTCTCCCACGTATGCGCACAGCATCTCTTTCAATTTACGCAGATGCAAGGATGCTGGGGTGCTGACTGTTCGTCGCCTCGGCCATCCTGAAGCCAACGCTAAGAAGGGCCAAGCTCCTCATTTAGCCAAGCTATTGCACCCGAGCTGGCGGCTTGGCGCGCAGCCTGGAGGGGCGTGAACAACATTGAACACTCAGAGGCAGGATTATGCAGCTCTCTGTTCCCCCCCCCTTCGCATTTCAGCCTTCTCGCGACGCTTCTGTGCTCCGGTCTTCTTCTGTCCCGCTCGAGCTCGCTTCCTCCCAGCCTTGTGACATATTGTGACCATGACATACCATGAGCATCATGACGCCTTGGCCACGCATTCGCCTCGGCTCTCTCCTCTTTCTTCTCGTTCTCCTCTGTCTCCTCGGCCTCTGGAGCTTCCGAGCCCTGCAATTGGGCAAGTCTCGGTGTACCCGCCGACAATATCAGCAGCCTTCCGCACTTTCTTGATAGCATGCCCCATCCTCGAGAGACTCGGCTTGCTCCGGCACTTCTGCCTTGGCTCCGTGTTTCCCGCGCGACATCTGTGTGCATCATACTCCCTGCCCAAAACTAAACCCACGAGCTCTTCGTGGCTTTCTATCGTACTCAAGATCTGTCGGCATGCCCTCTCGGTCTCGGTCTCGCTCTTTCTCCCTCTCTCTCTGTCTCTCCCTCCCTTCCTTCCTTCCTTCCTTCCTTCCTTCCTGTCGCTCTCTCTCCCTCTCTCTCTGTCTCTCTTCTTCTTCTTCTTCTTCTTCTTCTTCTTCTTCTTCTTCTTCTTCTTCTTCTTCTTCTTCTTCTTCTTCTTCTTCTTCTTCTTCTTCTTCTTCTTCTTCTTCTTCTTCTTCTTCTGCACGCTTTAGGGACCCCTGGAAGGGGGACCGCTTTTCAGGTACTTTGGTTTCAATCGGTCCTGTTCCCCGATAGGTCGAAACGGGGGTCCCCTTTTGGTCTCTCCCTCTCTCCTACGATGCAAGAATTTGAACGCAATGTGCTATGTGGTCATCTTGCATGCTCATGTTCGCCTCGGCTGTGACTGAGGGCATTTCGTGACCCTAATTTCCCAATGCGTACCCTCTTTCATTCGTTGAGAACCATCAGTCTCAGCACTGTTGCTGCAGCACGGCCCCTGATTCTCAATCAAGTTCGCTCTCCTGCTGAATTGCTCTATGATCTTGTATGGATACATCCGTATACATTCCACATCGTCTCTGCATGCAGCTTGAGTCCAGCAAGCACCGGCCGTCGATTCAGGATGAGAGATGCCATGCAGTGTCAGGGCGATCTTCACGAAGCAAGTACGGCGTCGTTTTTAATTGCACGGATACTTTAAACAGGCGAAAACAGATTCTTACACTACCTCCGCGAAGGATCGTCCGGAGGGTTTAGGGTGGAATTGGTGTTCAGGGAAGGCTGGCAGCCTTCCAGCCTTCAGCCCTCCATCCTGCCAGGTCATGCCAGCCCTAGGTTGGATGGAGAGCTGGAAGGCTGGAAGGCCCTACAACCCCCCAGGTTTATAGCCTTCTCCTTTGCTCCTTCCCATACCTCTTCCCTCCAATTTTCCAGCGGTGCTAAGCTCTCCAGCCTTCCAGCCTTCCAGCCCTCCATTTCACCTTCACAGGGCTAATGTCTGCGCGGCTCGCCGGGCCCCCATACACTCAAAAAAGACACCGTAGCATCAAGTAGTTTCAAGAATGGGGTGGCATGTGGCGGCATCACACCTCTCTCAATGTGAATCCGCCCTCTTCTCTTCATGATTCAGACTGGCAAAGTCTGAATAATTTCAATTCGGTTTTCTGGGGCCCCTGCATCTTTGTTGGCTGGCCCATGAACAGCAGGTAGATCTACAGGGTGCGCGCTGAATGTTCCGAGGCGATGGTAGTCGAAGGCAGATACAGCAGACTTGCCACTTGTCAGACAAACGCCTTGTGCTCTCGGCTCAGACGGCTCAGACCTCCGCTGATCCACGTCTCGTGCTTAAACTCGCTCAGCAATTGTCAGCTCTTCTTCTGCCGCCAAAGCCACACATCTGCATTGCCCTCCCCAGACACATCTCCGTAGCCAGAGACCTGCAAAGAGCGGCCCGCGATCGCTTCCCCAGGAAACTCTGCCAAAAACATCAGTTAGCAGGATGGGTGAGCAACCTCCCGTGCTTCGCCGGTTGCAAGCCGCGACCTGCGGAGAGAGGCACGAAGCTTCAAAGGATTCTCCGCCACACTCGGCATACATTCTCGAGCTGCTGGTGTTTTTTGCCTTACGTTTTGCATGTCCTGAGCGCTTGACCGGACAAACTGCTTGGCCTCGCGCTCCAGGGCCTCCCACTCTAAGCGCGACCTCAAAGTTCAAGCCAGATTAACAGCCTTCTCAAGGGTTCACCACCTCAACTTCGAGATGACGTCACGATGTGCTGCCGTGTGCTTATGATGTGCCGCTTCAAGACATTCTGAAAGGATGACATGGACAAGACAAAGCAAGATCCCAGAGGCAGCTGCTGAAGGGCCGCAGACGTGCCTCTCAGAGCAGCAAACGAAAGAACAAGAGCGAGAGAGGGAGAGATCGAGAGAGAAAGCAGCTCGTGTTTCCGAACCATCGCCGCCTTCACCTTCCTCAGCAGGGGCTGGGGCCTTCTGGCGGCTCCCAGAGCTCACCAGCACCTCGGGCGGGCGCCCAGCCCATCTGGTATGTAAGCGATCCAACCATGTCGGCTTCCTGCAAAAGAGGCCCCCCGGGTCGCCGACACCACGGCGGGCCGTCGCTCGCAGCGCTGCCATATGGCGTTTGCGAGCGCCGAGGGGGAAAAGGTTCTCGCAAGAATCGTTGCATGTGCTTTCGCAGGCCCCTGCGGCATTGTGCAGTACGCAGAGTGTGTTGAAATCCTTTCTGGTCGGTTGTACGAGTAGCCTGTTCCGGCTACTGTTGTGACACTTTCGGCATCGCCTGCTCATGCGCTGAGCATGATGAGTTCAGAGATTCTCACGTGCACGGACACTTGGCTGATCTTGGCTGCAAGATGCTGCGCATGAGGAACGCTCAGATCAAGTAATTGCAGTGGGTGTTGGATCACGTTTGGAACCTTGACTTCACTTGACATCCCTCTTCTGTTTTTGCTAGGCCGCGCAGGCTCACAGTGGTCCTGTACTCCACCAGCGGCGGCGCCTATTTGGCCTGCTTGGCCGCCTTTCGGTCTCCGCGTGTCACGGCATGGAAACCCGCCTCGGACCGTCTCTGAACTCGCGCAAACTCCCGCAAGAGAAGTAGCACAGACTCAAGCGACAGTGGCTGGACCTTGATGGACGCCGCCGTCCGTGAGGCGCCGCACTTCGAGCACTCCACCATCGTGAGTCGCGTTGAGGAGTCCTGCGCAATGTGGCCGCCTTGCCTACCAGCACTCTCTCTTGATGTCTGCACAGAAGCCTTCCGGAGTGTGGTACTGGCCGACTTGCACATCTCGCAGGTCACGTACTCCTCTGCGGACATGGGGTCTGAGTCTCAGATTGCATTCGCCTGAGCTGCCTTGATGTACTTGCGGAGGAGGCTCTCGCAGTGCTTTGGCTGATACCGGCCCTGTGAAAAAGGCAAAGGGCATCATGACAAGGATTTTAATGAAGAGGGCTTTGGAGAATCACAGTATTCTGCCGAGCCTTAAGGACGAGCTGGCCATCCTGTCCCTGACCCTCTGCTCGCGTAGTGGCGCTGCCCGCCACAGAGCCTTCCGTGCCGAACTCAGCCAGCACGAAGGACACCACCTCGGCGTTCCCAAGCTCCACATCTTCCCTGCTGTCTGAAGTTCAAAACTTGCTATACCTGGTTATAACATGTTGTAACTCTGATCTTTCTGAGGTGAGGGGCATGGTCCACCGGCCTCTTCATCATGTTGCAGATCCTGCGGCACTCCAAGGTGCAACTAGCGGTCATAGCCAGCAAGTCTCAGGTACAGGCTCGGAGAAGTTCACCCAGGCAACCTCTCGGTCTCTCTTCCAAGGGCAACATCTCTCAATCGATCATCTCCGATCACCACATGCCTCCTGCAAAGCATTGCACAACTCAAGCCCGGGCCTTCTTCGATCCAACTCGCACCACCTGAGGGGGCTTGAGGATATACCTCTCCTTATTGCCCACCTCCGGGTTGTGCTCCTGAGACCAGGCGCTTAAGAAGAACACAATGGCAAAAGGCCGCACCAAAGCGACCCCCACTCCCACACCCCAACAACAAATGCCAAAACCTAAAGCGCTTCTGGCAGGCTCCTCGATGATCTTGTACAGCCGAGCCTCTAGGAATCCAAGCCCGAATCACATGTGGCAGCAAGCCTGCACCTGGTAAAACAGAGACTTCCGTGAAACTCAGGAAAACTGCGGGGCGCGCCAGGAGGTCAGAATAGGGGTGCAGCGGACCTGGCGCGAGGATTTCTGAGGCTTGGAGGTCTCAAAGACGCTCAAAGATGCTCAATGTCAGTCTACACCGAAGCCTCGCCTTGCGTCCAGCCTTCGACGCCCTGGAGCTTGACCTCCCCCTCCTCCTGGCTGCGACATAATGAGGACAAATCTGAGGAACATTGAGGAATGAGATGGGGGAGATGGGGAGAGGGGCAGAAGGGCTGCTGCGCCTTGCTACCCTCCTCCTTTTCCGCCTGGCCACAACTGGGCGAAGACTCCAAGAGCTTCCAAAATTTAACACACTTGCCCATGCCTTCTCCTTCTTATCTTTGGTCTTCTTTTTCTTCTTCGAGCCAAAGTCGAAGACCTGTTCTTCTTCGTCGCCCATGACCTGAGTCGGACTAGATTGACTCAAGATTGACTAGATGAACTCTGCACAAAGGCTTGGCTGAGGCAGGCTGGCCCGCCCCGAGCGCATGCACCGTCTTAGATTCCGCAAAGGACTCTTGGGGCTGAGCGTAAGCGAGGCCGCTCTTTAGTTTGGCAACGTGCACTCGGCGGAGGATGTCTCTGAGTTGAGCCAAAGCAAGGCGCAGAGCCAGAGCAAGGGGCGTGGGGTGATTCTGCCTGGAGAAGGTACGGGCTACAGGCGTTGGTTCCTGCATCTGATTTGCTTGTCTTCACATGGCATTGCGCCACGCTGCGATCTGTTGAGTCTATTGCGCCTTTAGGACGAGTGGGCGCAAATTTTGCAGGAGGCCCCATCTGAATGCCCCTGGTCGCTGGCAGCTTTTTGGCTCCGCACTTTGCATCTTGCGGAGGTTCATCGGAGGCTCAGACTCAGACAGCACCTTTGATCTGCGCAAAGAAACCCTGAAAGAACCCGTCAACGAGACTTAACGAGTTCAAGCTCCAGTTCACGAAGAGATGCGCCGCGCCCCATGCGACGCGACTTCGAAACGTTTCGCACCCGAGCTCGGGGCCCAGTCGCCGGCCCTGGCCGCCGAAGGCCTCAAATGAGCTGGGCCCGAAGGTTGCACCCGGCCACGACATCCATTTGAACATTTCTTCTCATTACAGTTCGTGACTGCCTCCCACAACTCTTCGCCCTTTGCATCTCTGTTCAATCCCCGCTGTGCATCGCCACACCAGTGAACTAGACAATTCAAAGATCCCTCATGCATTTTCTAGACGAGAAGAAGTTGAATAATCCATATAATGCTTAACATATCCCCAAAAGTCGGTGTCGTCAGGCGGGTTTTTTCTCAGGTCTTGTGGCCGGAAATCTGGGTTCTCTCTGCGGTCTTGTGGCCGGAAATCTGGGTTCTGTCTGCGGTCTTGTGGCCGGAAATCTGGGTTCTGTCTAAGTAGAATCTTGGATCTACTCATCTGAAATCTGGGATTTGTCTGCGGTTTATTACATTAAAAACTTGGTTCAGATCGCTGAAAACCAGGATCCGCCCTGCAAGTTTCGGGGCTTGACCTTGTCATGAATCCTGAGAAATCTTGGACTTGCTCCTAGAAATATTGGGCTTACTCAAGCCTCGTGAAGATTGTTATCGAAACTGTTTCCTGTTTTGTTCTCGATGGAGGCCAGTCTGGCGGACAAAACTGCTTGACTTAACGATGCTACTCGCATCTGACTCTCCCTCCAGCCCCTCCAGCCCCTCCAGCCCCCTGCAGCCCCTCCAGCCAGCCCCTCCAGCCCCTCCAGCCCCTCCAGCCCCTCCAGCCCCCCCCAGCCCCTCCACCCCTCCCCTCCAGCCCCTCCAGCCCCTCCAGCCCCTCCAGGCCCTGCGGCCGTTTTAGCCCCTCCAGCCCCTCCCACCCCCCCACCCCCCCACCCCCCACCCCCCCCACCCCCCACCCCCCCCCCCACCCCCCCCCCCCCCCCCACCCCCCCACCCACCCCCCCCCACCCCACCCCCCCCCCCCAACCCCCCCCACCGCCCCCACTCCTTTAAGCGGCGCGGGTTGGGGCGGGCACCCCAACCAAATGGCACGCGGTTGGTACCCGCTCAGCACCCGTCGGTACCCGGTCGGTACCCGGTCGGTACCCGGTCGGGCCTGGACCTGGAGGGCGGGGTGGGGGGGGGGGGGGGGGGAGGGGGGGGGCGGGGGGGGCGGGCGGGGGGGGGGGGGCGGGCCGCGGGTTGGCGGGGGTGGCGGGGGGTGCCCCCAAAAAAAGGGGAGGGGTCCGGCGGTGGCCGTTCCGTGCGATGGGGGGGTTGGGTTTGGGGGGGGGGGGTGGGCAAGGGGCCCATGTTTTCGTGTCAGAAACTAGTCGAGTTTTTTTTTTTTTTTTCGTGGTGTTTGGTTGCCACTTACAACTTACAACCTAGGCATGGGCGCGCGCGCCAGGATCTTTCACGAAGAGACACCGCCTGTATATGTTTCGGAAAAGTTGAGGAGGGTGTTTTCAATCCTACGGCGCATGGATCTTGCTTCAGGGGCACTGCGTTCTTCCATGATTTTTTTCAACTCCGATGAAAACTTCTACCCGTGATCGACGCTTCATGGACGTGTCCAGAAGTTTTTGTCGCTCTAGAAGGAGCTAGGCTACACCTGGTTGCACAATAGCGCGACCCACTATTTTTTGTATATGACACTGACTTCCTCAGCGCCAGCCGAGGCCATGTTTCTTACGACCAATCCCGACTTACGATGCCTCAAGACCAAACATGACCCTCCCCAGGCCCCAACCCAGATGTGTTTTTTCTACTAGGTTTGCTTCGCAAAACGCAAGCCGAGACCATATTTTTAAAGACCAATCCCGACTTCGGACGCCTCAAGACCAAACATGACCCTCCCCAGGCCCCAACCCAGATGTGTTTTTCTACTAGGTTTGCTTCGTAAACGCAAGCCGAGACCATATTTTTAAAGACCAATCCCGACTTCGGACGCCTCAAGACCAAACATGACCCTTCCCAGACCCCAACCCATATATGATTTTCCATGAAAACCCAAAAGATATGTTAAGCATTATATGGATTATTCAAAGAAGAAGGGTGTGCTCTGGAGACCCTGGATTTTCGAGCCATGCACTTCAGAGTGGTCCAACAATGCAGGTTTGAGTCGAACTTCTGCATGAAAAGGGCCCCCCGGGTCGCCGACACCACGGCGGGCCGTCGCTCGCAGCGCTGCCATATGGCGTTTGCGAGCTCCGAGGGCGAAAAAGTTTTTAAATTTCTCGCAAGAATCGTTGCATGTGCTTTCGCGGGCCTCTGCGGCATTGTGCAGTACGCAGAGTGTGTTGAAATCCTTTCTGGTCGGTTGTACGAGTAGCCTGTTCCGGCTACTGTTGTGACACTTTCGGCATCGCCTGCTCATGCGCTGAGCATGATGAGCTCAGAGATGCTCACGTGCACGGACACTTGGCTGATCTTGGCTGCAAGATGCTGCGCATGAGGAACGCTCAGGTCAAGCAAGTGCAGTGGGTGTTGGATCACGTTTGGAACCTTGACTTCACTTGACATCCCTCTTCTGTTTTGGCTAGGCCGCGCAGGCTCACAGTGGTCCTGTACTCCACCAGCGGCGGCGCCTATTTGGCCTGCTTGGCCGCCTTTCGGTCTCCGCGTGTCACGGCATGGAAACCCGCCTCGGACCGTCTCTGAACTCGCGCAAACTCCCGCAAGAGAAGTAGCACAGACTCAAGCGACAGTGGCTGGACCTTGATGGACGCCGCCGTCCGTGAGGCGCCGCACTTCGAGCACTCCACCATCGTGAGTCGCGTTGAGGAGTCCTGCGCAATGTGGCCGCCTTGCCTACCAGCACTCTCTCTTGATGTCTGCACAGAAGCCTTCCGGAGTGTGGTACTGGCCGACTTGCACATCTCGCAGGTCACGTACTCCTCTGCGGACATGGGGTCTGAGTCTCAGATTGCATTCGCCTGAGCTGCCTTGATGTACTTGCGGAGGAGGCTCTCGCAGTGCTTTGGCTGATACCGGCCCTGTGAAAAAGGCAAAGGGCATCATGACAAGGATTTTAATGAAGAGGGCTTTGGAGAATCACAGTATTCTGCCGAGCCTTAAGGACGAGCTGGCCATCCTGTCCCTGACCCTCTGCTCGCGTAGTGGCGCTGCCCGCCACAGAGCCTTCCGTGCCGAACTCAGCCAGCACGAAGGACACCACCTCGGCGTTCCCAAGCTCCACATCTTCCCTGCTGTCTGAAGTTCAAAACTTGCTATACCTGGTTATAACATGTTGTAACTCTGATCTTTCTGAGGTGAGGGGCATGGTCCACCGGCCTCTTCATCATGTTGCAGATCCTGCGGCACTCCAAGGTGCAACTAGCGGTCATAGCCAGCAAGTCTCAGGTACAGGCTCGGAGAAGTTCACCCAGGCAACCTCTCGGTCTCTCTTCCAAGGGCAACATCTCTCAATCGATCATCTCCGATCACCACATGCCTCCTGCAAAGCATTGCACAACTCAAGCCCGGGCCTTCTTCGATCCAACTCGCACCACCTGAGGGGGCTTGAGGATATACCTCTCCTTATTGCCCACCTCCGGGTTGTGCTCCTGAGACCAGGCGCTTAAGAAGAACACAATGGCAAAAGGCCGCACCAAAGCGACCCCCACTCCCACACCCCAACAAAAAATGCCAAAACCTAAAGCGCTTCTGGCAGGCTCCTCGATGATCTTGTACAGCCGAGCCTCCAGGAATCCAAGCCCGAATCACATGTGGCAGCAAGCCTGCACCTGGTAAAACAGAGACTTCCGTGAAACTCAGGAAAACTGCGGGGCGCGCCAGGAGGTCAGAATAGGGGTGCAGCGGACCTGGCGCGAGGATTTCTGAGGCTTGGAGGTCTCAAAGACGCTCAAAGATGCTCAATGTCAGTCTACACCGAAGCCTCGCCTTGCGTCCAGCCTTCGACGCCCTGGAGCTTGACCTCCCCCTCCTCCTGGCTGCGACATAATGAGGACAAATCTGAGGAACATTGAGGAATGAGATGGGGGAGATGGGGAGAGGGGCAGAAGGGCTGCTGCGCCTTGCTACCCTCCTCCTTTTCCGCCTGGCCACAACTGGGCGAAGACTCCAAGAGCTTCCAAAATTTAACACACTTGCCCATGCCTTCTCCTTCTTATCTTTGGTCTTCTTTTTCTTCTTCGAGCCAAAGTCGAAGACCTGTTCTTCTTCGTCGCCCATGACCTGAGTCGGACTAGATTGACTCAAGATTGACTAGATGAACTCTGCACAAAGGCTTGGCTGAGGCAGGCTGGCCCGCCCCGAGCGCATGCACCGTCTTAGATTCCGCAAAGGACTCTTGGGGCTGAGCGTAAGCGAGGCCGCTCTTTAGTTTGGCAACGTGCACTCGGCGGAGGATGTCTCTGAGTTGAGCCAAAGCAAGGCGCAGAGCCAGAGCAAGGGGCGTGGGGTGATTCTGCCTGGAGAAGGTACGGGCTACAGGCGTTGGTTCCTGCATCTGATTTGCTTGTCTTCACATGGCATTGCGCCACGCTGCGATCTGTTGAGTCTATTGCGCCTTTAGGACGAGTGGGCGCAAATTTTGCTGGAGGCCCCATCTGAATGCCCCTGGTCGCTGGCAGCTTTTTGGCTCCGCACTTTGCATCTTGCGGAGGTTCATCGGAGGCTCAGACTCAGACAGCACCTTTGATCTGCGCAAAGAAACCCTGAAAGAACCCGTCAACGAGACTTAACGAGTTCAAGCTCCAGTTCGCGAAGAGATGCGCCGCGCCCCATGCGACGCGACTTCGAAACGTTTCGCACCCGAGCTCGGGGCCCAGTCGCCGGCCCTGGCCGCCGAAGGCCTCAAATGAGCTGGGCCCGAAGGTTGCACCCGGCCTCGGCAAGCGGGCTCATGCCCCCCAGGCATCACTAAAGACGAAAAACTCACGAAAGAGCGATGACCAGTCTTCTCCAGCTTAGAGCAGGCATGCTCTCTCCCCATCACCGAACGGTACGTGCGACACTCCGCGACATGCTAGCGGGATAGTAGCTGATGTGCAAATGCAGCTCCTTGCCAATCGGGGCCGGTGCAGCACACCACCTCCGCGAAGAGGTGCACGCTCAGCACCTCAAAGGAACTACCAGGCAGCTAGCATGCCAATTTCGGTGCTGGATCACAGGCTACCGCATGTCCCTGCCGTCCAGCTTGATGGCTACGCCAAGCTGGGTCGCACACGCTCCTCACGGCCTCATGAAAACGCTAAGCTCCCGCTAGGCTGTTCTACCGATGCTAAATGTCTCATGTTACGCAACTGACGCAATTGCTATGCCATGTCATGTCATGGCCTCCACTCTCAGCATCCTTGTATATGTACCTGCATCCGAACATGCCAGCCGTGTCTGACGAGCCCCGATGCGCTGTCCCTGTCGCACCACGCGATAAGGGCTGCAGGCAGTGTGACAATGGGGACCAGGATCAAGATCACGGATCGTAGGTTCGAACTGCACCAGGAAGTGCGGAAGCCGAAAAGTAATGTCCAAAACTGCAGGCCTGAAAGGCATATTGCTGGAAAAGAGAGGGAACGGAGAATGGACCTCAGTTCGAGGTTTCCGCTGTGCCAAATTCCTCCAACTGTCGTCGCTTGGAAACTGGCCCAGAAGTCAATGAATTTCACAAGATCAAAGATGCCGTTGATGAAGCACATGAGCCCCCAGTAGCCTGAAACAAGGTTGCATCACACTTGTTTAGTTCGGGTCATGTTCGGATGGCCCGCAAGATAGGGTGATAGGGTGCTGGGCCACCAGCACAGAAAGGTACCATTCAACTCCTCCTTGTAGCACCATGGGTGGGATCTTTATCAGTCCGTTTTGGGATGCGCATGCCTTGATTGCAAGTTAGGTCCTTGTACGCATACCAGCCGAAGCCTGTCGCGATGGCCTGCGATGATCACAGAGACTGCCTTCTATGCACCCGCGCTGCACTACTCTGGGCCATAATGAACCCGCCCAGGATGTCGAGCAGAAACACCTGGCAAGCACTGAAAGCGCTGCTTGCTGGGACATTTGAAAGGGTGATGGGCACGCATGCAGACATGCAGGATCACGCAGGCACACTCAGAGCACACTTGCTGCCCAGGAGGCACCCAGCGGCAGAGGATTACAACCGTTTGCAGGATCAGCAACGCGAAGATCGTGTATTGCCTCGCTTGAGGCGTGGAATAATTATTGCCGAGTCAGAACCCACGTCCTGTCTGCCTCGACTTGGCATAGGAACTGTAGCCGCCAAAAGACATCGGCCTCGCAGTTCACGCATGGATGTTCGCAGTGTTAATTTACCTCCACGATGCTCCACAATCCCGCTGCTGTATCTGCAGGCTCCCAGCGGCATGGGGATCAGCATTTTCACGGAGGGCCTGGTCCCATTATGTCCCATTGGACAAGTGGGAATGCTTGAGGAAAGGGCCCCCCCAACCCCAGCCAAACCCTAGCTGGGCGAAAGGGGTGGGGCCCTGATTCCCAACGTGCTGGACGGAACGGGCACACTCACGGAACGCGGCTCGGGCCTCCAGGCACTGCCACCGATGGTGGCTCCACGATATGGAGAGGCCTGGATTCATTGGGGACACACACACACAAACACACCGACACACGCGCACACACTTCTCTCTCTCTCTCTCTCTCTCTCTCTCTCTCTCTCTCTCTCACTCACTCAAGCACGCACATACACATAATTCACTCACACACAAACACACACTCACTCACACACGCGCACACATCACCCACCCACACACACACACACACATTCACGCCCTCACTCACGAGACCGCGTTGGCAACACATCGAATGTCACGGGCAACGAGATCGAACGAACCAAATCTGTGAAAACAACAAATCTGGAAGGCAACAAATTGGAAGTGCAACGAAACAAGGACAGCAACTGGGCTAGCTCTTGTACTTTTTGTTCACGACACTGCAGGTGGTGATCAGCTTGGACATCTTCCCAACTCAGCAGCTTCGTCGGCGGCGGACGTACGAGTGGACCACGGCTCTCGAGTTTCGATTTGCGTGGCTTAGCATCATCCTCGTAGTTTAACATCATGGCCGGACGATCCCACGCCTGCAAGGGCACCGTCAGGGTCTATCAGGGTTCCATTGGTGGAAATAGTTTGCAAATTTCAAAGCTGCTGCCACGCGTCATGTGTGGTTTGCCAACAGTGATGACAGTCTCCGCAGAACGGAGTACGGACAACAGCAGGACGCTGAACACCCTTGAGTGTCTACTGCATATGGAGAATACACTCCGGCGAAAATCTGAACCGGGTAGGAACGATTTCCTACATCTGTGTAGTTCCGCGCTGCGTACAAGCTAAGTTGGAAGTGTACATTGGGGCCTATCAGGTACGACTGCAGACTGCTGCGAAGAAGCTTTCCAAGAAGTGGTAGAAGGCGAAGAAAGGAGAATTGCATGCTGCAGGTGCAATATCGTTGGTTTAGAGGGCGAAGAGGAAGCCGATGATGAAGCAAAGGACATGGGCACATGGGAAGGTTTTGGTATTCGACCTGGCCGATGGGACCGAGGTGAAAACTCCACCATCGCAGGCGAGATGTCTGATTGTCTTGCTCGTGGTCGGCATCGTAATCCACCATTTCTGGTACTGGTGCCGAGGAATACGGCGGGCGAAGAATCCCAGAAGACAGTGGATAGCTGATCGAAGCTCTGCATGTGTTGATGAGTACAAGGGCAGCCCAGAAGGCAAGAAACCAGATGCAATGACGCGGGCTTTGCTTGTTCGCTTCTGTGAACCCATCAGCGACATGCCTCATGCCTCAGCTTTGTAGGGAGTGGAGAAGTTGATCTTTCATGCTCAGAGGTCATGGCGGCGTTTCGCGACTTACAAGGTACAGAGATTCAGAGCATGGTCGTTGAAGAAAACTGTGTGCCGCAGACGTCTCACGCTAAGCAGTTGCAGGACGTGACCTTTGGCAAGGCCAGCGCAGAGACAAGAGCAGCGCAGGGAGGCGCTTGAAGCCTTCCCGGCGCACAGAGGCATATCGGCGATCAGCCCGCGCATGGGACATTTGGGTGGCTTCGTTTGCAGTGGACTGCACTCTGCTCTAGTTTCACTTTGCCTAACTCAACATCATATTTGTAGTTAAATACGAACACACACACACACTCACACTCACTCACACACTCACTCACGCGCTCGCTCACGCACTCCCTCGCACACTCACTCACTCACGAGCCCACTTACATGCATGGTCCCCCATGTCCCTCTCCTGTTCACGCGCCCCCCATGCCGGGGAGGGAACGTAGCTTCGAAATGAGCCAAGTGGCAGAAAGGGCTTCACACGTTTGCATGGCATCCAATGCTTGTTTGCACAATATCACAGACCCAATTCCAGACCCGTCAACCAAAACCCACCATAGACCCAACAGAAACCCAACCAGACAACCTATTCTCGGCCATACCTACTATTGCCAGTCAGTCGGTGGCAGATCCCGTCTCGTACCCGAATAACGCAAAGTCTAGAAAAATGAGCCAAGTGTTGACAGGCCTAGACCTTCCGCGGACATCAGGCTTTCCGCAAATGAACATGAACCGGCACATTCTCTGAATATACAAACGCGAACCGACGTGCTGACTTAATATGCATGATCGTGGGCGCCTGGTGGGGCCACTTTTGTTTCAGACAAGTGATGTTTGCCATTTCTTTCTCCAGCATGCCATTTCTCTCTCCAGGGAGCAGTCAGCTCACCTACTGAACAGCGGAGAAGTCCAGGGCATCCGTGCTGGAGGTTGGCTTTCCTTCGCCTGCATATTCGAATATTCGACAATCTCGCTTCCCACTGGAGACGTGTTCAGTCAAGACATCCATGAGAGAGGGAGGGAGGGGGACGAAAGCTCAGCAAGCTGCAGATGCCAGCCCTTCAACTCTAAAGTTCGAAACGGCTACCCCGAAGATCCAAGGGGGGACTGAGGTCAGATCCCAACCCTCAGAGCCGAAACCCTGACGGAAACAGCCCCGACCCCGAAAGCCTGAAACCTAAACCCCATGCCCTTCAAAACCCTAAATCCCTGAACGACCACCCGGAGCCCGAAAGGGAGTTCAAGGCGTACTTAGGTCGACCCACGGGCCGAGCATCATGGATCCGGCCAGGGAGAAGCCCAATGTTGGACGGCATTCTTGGGATTCCACTAAAATGCTGTCGATCGAATGTGCATGCAAGCGCCGGGATGGCTGATGATGTCGGGTATTGCGACATCAGCCTGCCTTCGATGAGGGGGCGAGAGTGCCGTAACCAGGGACATTGAAGCCTGCAGCGGCCGTCGACGAAACAATTCCGCGAATAACGGACTCGACAGTCAAAGACATTGCATTCGCATATTTTGCAGTCGCTTGAGTCTACTGAGACTTGATGCAGGAATCGCAACCTGTGTGTTTCAGTACTTTTGGCATCTTTGGGCACTCCATCGGACGTTAAGCGCATGGCTCATGGAAGGCAAGCCCCCTCCGCCAAAGAGGTTCGGTGGCGTCAGGCCTGCACCAGAAAAAGCTACTACACCCCTACTACAATGTTTGCGAACCTTCTGCTGAATCTGTGTATGGCTGTGTTTGCCTCTCCTCATGCATGCGCTGCGGGGATGTTGTCAAGACAGGCCCTTGAATACCCTTTTCAGCGCGATGGCAAATGAGTCAAGCACCGTGAACAACATTCAGGTAGTTACTTTAACAGAGTGATACTTAATGTGGAACCTTTTTGCTTAGTCTGTTGGCTCTTTCGGGGGAGGTGGCATCTGCAGCTTGGCTTCATGGCTTCTGCCTAGGCTTCTTGGCTTTTGGGCTTCTACGCCGGGCATGGGTTCGTGGACTACTACGACGAGGACTGCTACTACGACAAGGACACACGCGTGTATTTGGTCGTGGGATACTGTGGGTACTGCTGTTGCAGAGCAACCCCCTTGACCACCAGCGAGTTTGGATGTTGAGCGCTCAAAAGCGCTCTCAAGTCATTCTGTATTTGCAAGAACGAAAACTTTCCACTAACATATACAGGACGTGGTGTCACTTCTGTCACTTGTAGTATTCGTAACTATCGACCCCAACCCCCACCCCCCCGCCTCACCCCCCGCCTCCCAAAAGACTTATAACATAACACGATGCAAGTAGCAGTACCCCCCAGACCCAAGACAAATCCTGAAATACTGTGCGCAGCCCCGAGTCCGCTGTACGAATCTGCAGCCCAGCACAGCCCAGCCTTTGACCATGCCATGCTGATCGGGCCTTTGCCTGCCAAGGTGTGACATTGGGTCAATCATTACAAGTAATTGGGTTGCATCTAGGTGCCGCGGATTGCCAGAAAAAACACAACCAGCATGAAAAAAACAACGAGCACAGGACAACACCAACACATCCGCACACCAACCAAGAAGCATGTAATCAACCAACACACACACACACCCACACGCACACGCACACGCACACGCGCACGCACACGCACACGCACACGCACACGCACACGCACACCCACACACGCACAGCACTAGAAGATCACGCGCAAGCAACGCCTTCACAAAAAGACACGAACCAGACAAAAGAATTCGACGCCATGCAAGAAAGCACGTGAGCAAGTATATGCACATGCGCAGCTGTTTCTTCTGCACGCCCACGGCCCAGAAGGGAGACAGCACGTGTAGTACTTAGTACTTGTACCCCGCCCAATCGGAAGAGGACGGCTTGCCAGTGTGCAAAAGGCTCCAAGGCATGCCAAGGGGCGGTGCTTGGGGTTGCCCGGGATAGCGGCGATGTACAGGAGATTGGGGCGACGGCCAGCCAGCCACATCAGCTGCAGGCCGGCTTTCGGCTGATGGAAGGAAATGGGCCGGAGAAGCCGACGATGTTGAACTGCAACAGGATGCAACAGGCCATGCATACTATGTACGATTTCACGCTTACATATCATCACTCGCCTGCGTTTCATCATGAATGTTTGGCAAAGCCGTGCTCAACAAACGTGCGGATAAAAAAGGACTAGTGGTGCAGCACGCGATAATTAGGCTTCGTAAATGTGCAAACTCAGCTTCACACCCCCGGTGCCTCGGCAAAGGTGGGGGCGGCGGTGGCAAATGCAAATCATGCCTGTCGTGCCTGTAAGGGGACGCCTCGGGTTGTGCACCAAGATATGCGCAAGAGCTGCAAGAGTCGCAAGAGTCCGCACTGAGGAATTGTTTGCTTGCTGAGGCGCAGCCGATGGTTGGCTTCTGAAACTGTCAGCACTGGCATGACCGGC